AAAGAGAGAGAGAGAGAGCAAGCGAGAGAGAGAGAGAGAGAAAGAGAGAGAGAGAGAGAGAAAGAGAGAGAGAGAGAGAGAGAGAGAGTCGAGTAAACCGTTTTTCAAACTGATCACGTTCTACAAAACGCTTCCAGAAATGCCTGAACATTTCACACGCCGATTCTAGAAGCTCAAATTGATATTTGCTAGGACTGCTTTCGCGCCCACATCGGAAGGCAGCCACAATGAAGCTATCACGGCATCGATTTTCGGTTCGAGTGAACAATATCTATCTGCAAACGTCGGCGGAGGTCCTCCAATGAAACCCTCATACACGATCAGGGCTTCACAGTTCCTTGTGCGACGTAAGCAGCGACAGCGAGTGACGACGTGTGAACTATACGAGGCATGCTAACTTCAAAATGTCCGCGCTACTAATGACGTGCGACACGCCGATAACTACAGGAAAGTGGCGTTCAGGGAGAGAATGCGACGTAAGCCTCACGACGCCCGGCCGTCAGACATGGAACGTGGGTGCGTGCGTGCATGATAATCAGCCGCCCAACAATCGGGCGGCCTGCTGTCGTCTTCCATGGCAGCGGTATATCGAAGGTTTTCTGGACGAACTTGTGCTGTAATTTGTTTCCCACGCTGTTTGCTACTATTAGCTGATGTACCGCAGCTTGACTACAGAGGAAGCTAACAGGTTGTGGGCGTCTCCGTCGGGTCTGGGGACACGGCTTGGCTTTGAAAGTTGATTAGCGATAGCCTAGAAGGCAAACGCAAAGCACACGCATATACGCCCAATGGAACGGATAAATTGGGGTGATCATCGGTTCCTTGAAAGAGGCCTGTGCATGTTGCGCAGTCGTATCCAGGCCGCCTCAAGCGATCACAGCGTCGCGCGTGGTGGTCCACTGCGATCGCTCAGACACGGTAAATTTATAGCGGGTTCAAGGATGGCAGCGCCCTCTTTGGTGAATATTAATTATGTGCGAGGTAACAACTACGATTACGACCTAAGTGATCGTTCTGCGTCGTTGACGAAGATAGTATGTAGACCCACGCACGCAACGCACGCACGACGCAGGAACGCGCAAGCACGGCACGACGCACGCACGCACGCGGCACGCACGACACACCCACGCACACATCACACACATACAACAGCACACACCACACACCCACACACAAAACACACGCACGCATATATTATATATTACTCGCTATACTAGAAAATAATGTTGAGATCCGAGCCATATTGTACAGTAAAAGAAGCTAAGCCGGAGAAGATGTACATTAGCCAGTGACAGCATAGAATACCGACGAAGATCATTAATAATTAATGACGACAAACGCATGATAATTAATGAATATAATAGACCCCATACTCGGTCATCGCTCATTGTTGTAACGGGCTGCTATCACACTGTTGTGGATAAGCCGCCATTACTGCTAATAGAAAGTCTTGGTATGAGATTCCCAACCACCGACCTCCTTGCATCAACACTCACGTGATCGATGGCAGAATAACGAGTCAGCTGCATATGCTTGGAAATCATCCCCACGCCGTTTCAATAATCACGATTAACAATAGTTTCACATAATAAATTATGTAATTGATTGCTTGTAATCTTTGTGATCGGGCACAACGCGTTTGGCGCAATCGCGTTGTGTCTTTATTTGGCAAATTCGTTAGTTAGTTGTTAGTTGGTTCGTTAAAGATAAAATAGATGCGATTGCATGTCTATTGGCGATGTGTGCAGCGGTCGGTGTAGCATGATGGTATCAAGAAGTGAATAATACAAAGATATAAAATATTCACAGTCCTGAGGTATATATCGAAGTAGTATAAGGGAAATTCGCGCTATTATCTACTTCTGTATATATCGCTGATGGTAACCCCGCCCCCTTCTTGCGGCGTCAGCCTGCAACAACGTCAAACCGAGTCACAGTTATGACGTTCGTACACCAGACATCCGATGCCCACAGCGCAATGATAGCGCGGGGGGGGGGTTGACATAGAGAAGGATGTATCTACTGTACAGGGGAAAAGGCATACTATACGATAGGCACATAGTACAAATCTAACGGAGACCATCGCCGGTGAATATATGCTGTCGTCAGCCATTATTACATCCGCGCTGCATGGTTGCATACTTTCTATGATTGCACCGACGCTGCTAGAAACCCACATGTACTTTCTATTTAATACGTATAAATAATTTTTTCTAAATTCAATCCTTTCAGTAGGAGCATCGCGTCAGCCTGCCTAGCCGCTGCGACAACGGCTTAACTGTATGTGCGAATGCTAATGGTCATGTTGAGTTGGTCAATAGCCGCCACGATAAGGAAAACCAACCTCTTAATCAAACTCCATGCACCATATTAACTAGCGTATATATGTTAGTGTTATTCTGCACATGTACCAGCAATCGCGTCACTTACGTGGCGCCGTTCGAACGTTTAAATCACGACCCGCCACCTCCACGCCCGTGGTGAGTAACATGCGACGCTTATTACCGGCATATAAACAACATCGCATGCATGTTCCTGCATACCAAAGATGAACTGAACGCGATTAAGTATTGATCGTGATAGTACCCCATGCATGACGCCAACGCGCTAGCTGTACATGAGATACACATGCGTCGACGTGTTTGCTGAATTCCAAGTGGTCGTAGAGTATAAGTGTATTGCGAACACTACGCTAGTGCCTGACTAGGTGCGTCACGTACGTCGTCACCGTGGCGATGGTGGAGGCGTTGCACTTGTACGGCGTATAAGAAGCAGTAGGAGTGATATAGATCGTGTCCGCGAGTACGCTTTCGAACACAAGAATAACATATGGAACGATAAAATGATAGGAAAGGGAGAGAGAGAATAGACACACAAGAAAGGAAGACAGACAGACAGACAGACAGACAGACAGACAGACAGTCAGACAAACAAACAAACAGAAGAAGACAGACTAACAACAAACAGAGCAGACAGACAGACAGGACAGACAGACAGCAGAACAGGTAAGAGAGATGGGCTAGGTACAAGAGATAGATAGAGCGAAAGATAGGCAGAAGAGAGAGGGAAGATAGATAGAAATAGATAGAAAGAGTTAGCAGACTAAGAGAGAGGGAGAGAAGAGAGAGTGAGCGATAGAATGTGTGTGTGTGTGTGTGTGTGTGTGTGTGTGTGTGTGTGTGTAGTGTGTGTGTGTGTGTGTGTGTGTGTGTGTGTGTGTGTGTGTGTGTGTGTGTGTGTGTACGCGCGTGTGCGTGTGCGTGTGCATGTGCGTGTGCGCTCGTCTGTGCAGGTATTATACTCACAAATAAACCTATCAGTGTTGGGGCAGGCGGATGTGTACAGACGCTCAGTTTTTTTTATCTCTCCACCAATAGAGACTGTACGTTATTATCGGAAACTAGACACGTTACTCTATTAGTTATCTTGGTTAGTAATTTCCGTGTGCTTTTGCGCGGCGGACCAAAATACATGCACGTGAACCATATTTTTTAGGTGTGACAACACGTAAATTGCCTGGTTTGCGTGTTGCAAGAAAATTGTTTTACAAAAACAACATGGGAGAATATTTTGAGTTAACAAAATATACACTGTTCCATGCAATGTAGCGTCAGCGGGTGGCATCGCAATTTCTCAACGTAACTCCGGCCGATTTTATTTTAGCATTAGTGTGGTAGCCAATGGAAATTGATTTCCCGTTGTAATACCTGTGTGTGTACAATGCAATTACTGTAGCCGTGCTAGCATTACCACTGCGGTCGTCTACACGCGTGTAGAGTTAGCAGTCTTTGTATGTGTTGCTGCTAACCGCGATATAACAACTAGCTACAATTATGCTTTGAACAGTCGTCAAATATTGGGTTAATATTTGAGCTGCTACGCTGCAGTAATTATACTATGATCTTCTAAGCGCTACGGAAATCATGTACTTATATAGAAGTAGCGTTCATGTAGTGAAAGCTCGGCAATTTACCAGAGATTCTAACTTTTTTCAGATTCTACAGAATCGACAGCAGCGCCACGGTTACACGTTTGTTGCGTCCAACCACGGCGAGAGTAAAAATTCGTAGCAATGACGTCACGCCGATGTTCGGATCAGAAGTCTTTGGTTCAGCGAGATCTATAATCTACGCTATAATGCCAGCTGTTACAACGCAGAATGATTTACCATTGCCAACACGACTAGATCCGGCTAGATCCATATATTGTACCGCTGAAGGTCGAAATCCATACACTAATCAAAACCGGTATAGATGAAAATGAGTCATTTATACCATAAGGGAAATTAGCTAACAGCGACGAAGTTACTAGTTTACTAGTGATGAATCGTCTGTCAATTTATCAAAAATTGTAAAACGAACGGTGATAAATGAAGCAACAGAGAAGCAGATATTAAAAAAATTATAATTATGAATAATAAAAAAATAATGATGCCTCGACATCATTGTGTGAATTCCGAAGCGGTACTAAATTTTCCGGATTCATTTTTTTCTTTCGAAAAGTACTCATACTGTTTTTAAAATTAGGTTACTATATACACACACAGCGGCCACGCCCTAACGATGATTGTGTTGGTTTTCGTTTTCATCGCAATTACACGGTCGCTAATCAAGATCCGTAGTGATTCAGTGATTCCCATTCACGCAGTCTCCATGCCTGCATGGCTCGGCCAGTTTAAAACTCATGTATAGCCGTAGATACCTTATTTAGCTCTTAGAATTATATATATACGTCGATTTCTACCCACACTATAGCTTCGCTAATCATGTATAACTGCAATGGGATACCTATGCAGAGTTGTTACGGCAGGGGGGAATGAAAACTAAGTTATAATAACTACTACTACTAGAAAACTACGTACAAGTGCATCTATTTATACTAACCACCGACATTAGCATGTAATAATATGCGCACTTAAAGCTCCATCTACATTAGCTACACAAGTCACGCATAACCAAAGTTCACACAACACACTCACGCACATATAATAGTATGATTACCTGACTGCCGAATCGCTTTGCTTCGAACGTGTGGCCATTAAAGCGCTTGCATTTCTTCCACCTGCGTGCGCCCTGCCGCCTGTACACCGTACCTGCACGAGAAGGAATGTTGAGGCGTTACAGGGTACGGAGTGTCATTAGCAAACATTGCGAACAATTCATCACGCGAACCTCTCTCTCTCTCTTTACTGCAGCCTTTCTTCAGCGAAAAATATATACGGCTGCGACACGACCACTATGCGTTGCGGCGTAAATTTATTGCATTGCTGTTTATCTATGCCCTCGGCAACCTGATTACGAAAGCTCTCGTAATAATATAGTGACCGAATCCGGTCTATTCAAATGCGGAGGGTTGGCCTGCGGGGAGTGTCAGAGCAGATGTGCTGTGTGTGCAGTTGAACTCGGCGCGTGACGGCCTGTCTGCCTATGTGAGTGTATCGACGGTCGTCTGCTAGTTTCGCTTTAACGCCAGCGTCAAATTACACGTTAGTCTTAGACTGTGATCAAAGTTCAGGGGGAGAACCGGAAGTAATTCGCATTGGTAGTCTGATCCGACGTCATTCCGGTTGACCCTGCCTGCAGCGAGCATCAATGCTACAGCGCAAACGAATGAAAAGTCTCGAAACGCAAATCGAGTAAACGTTTTCAACTGATCACGTTCGACAAAACGCTTCCAAAATCCGTGACAATTTCACCCGATTTTAGAAGCCAATTTGATTTTGCTAGGCACGCTTTCGCGCCCACTCGCGAACAGCCCAATGAAGCTATCACGGATCGATTTTCGGTTCGAGTGAAAATATCTATAGCAAACGTCGGCGAGGTCCTCCAATGAAACCCTCATACAACGATCAGGCTTCACAGTTCGCTTGTCGACGTACAGCGACAGCGCAGTGAACGAGCTGGTGACTACATGCATGCTAACTCAATGTCCGCGCTTACTAATGACGTGCGACAGCCGATAACTAGCAGGAAAGTGGCCGTCAGGGAGAGAATGTCGACGTAGCCTCACGACGCCCGCCGTCAGACATGGAAACGTGCGTGCGTGCATGATAATAGCCCCCAACAATCGGCGGCCTGCTGTCGTCTGTCCCATGGCACCGTATATACGAATGTTTTCTGACGAAACTTGCTGTAATTGTTCCCACGTCGTTTGCTCTATTAGCTGATTACCGCACGTTGACTACAGAGGACAGCTACAGGTGTGGGCGTCTCCGTCGGGGGCTGGGGACACGGCTTGGCTTTGAAAGTGATTACGATAGCCAGAAGGCAAACCCAAAAGCACACGCATATACGCCCATACTGGACCGATAAATTGCCGTGATCATCGTTCTTGAAAGAAGGCTGTGCATCTTCGCGTCGTATCCAGGCCGTCCTCAAGCGATTCACAGTCGGTCGCGCGTGGTGGTCCACGCGATCGCTCAGAACGTGTAAATTTAGCGGGTTCAAGGAATGGCAGCGCCCTCTTTGTGTGTGAATATGTAATTATGTGCGAGGTAACAACTACGATTACGACCTAGTGATCGTTCGGCGTCGTTGACGAAGATAGTATGTACACCCACGCACGCACGCACGCACGCACGCACGCACGCACGCACGCACGCACGCACGCACGCACGCACACACACACACACACACACACACACACACACACACACACACACACACACAC